GTTGTTTATGTGGAAATTAAAAAACAAATTGGATTTACGATCAAGCTCGCCAGGTTAGTATTTGACGTATAACCGACCACTTCGTACACTCGATGCACCTGGGCGACTACAGCTACTACCAGAGCACAGTGCGTATGCAGCGGTATTTCAGATTTTACATTGAATTTCATTTTAAATTTAAAATGATTTATCTTACGCCTCCTAAAAATGATGACACGATTTTCCTTTGATAAAAGACCGACAACTTTTTGTTCTACTTTGCATCGAATACGATCCTACTATAGTAACAATAATAACAAAACATGTGCCTCTTTTCTGATGGAAAAAGTGTCAAAATTGTACTTACATTACATTTAATTTACCATTTTCCGGCAAAATTATAATATGACGATAGTCTAGTCTAGATTACGTATGTAACTTTTTCAAAATGATTAATGAAAACGAAAATTGCAGAGAAATCTCACGATTTGTATTCAAGTAATGATTAAGTGTTTGTTACATCAATTATATTAATCAATTTTTTTACACCATTTTACAAAACGAGTGTGTCTTCGTGGTAGAAAGCGTTAAGTGCGTCCTTGCATTCCAGGGGTAGAGAGTTCGATCCCCAGTACAGGTACGACTTTTTTTCAGCTAATATTTATTTCAAATAACGTATTGTATTGTATTGTAACGTAAAAAAGGTAACTTGAATTTTTTCCCTAAAGTTCACCGTTCTCAAGTTATTCATACCAATACAATCCCCTTGTGGCAGACACTTCAAACCATAATATTACAAGAATATTTATGTTTATGTTTAAAAGTAAGCGAAATTTGTAAGCACATCAACAATAGTATATTGTGCAATCTAAAAAATTATTTTGCGAAAACTATCGAACCGATTTTAATGAAATTTGGTGTGTGTTTTATTATACTAAAAAGTTTGTTTTTACTAAAATTAGATTGCCCTGGGAGCAATTAAAAAATTAAAAAAAAATATATTAAAAAATACTTGATTATTTTGCCTCTTTTCACCAATTGTTGCTATTTTGCAACATCGGTAATAAATGTAAACATTTTTAACTTACAGTATATTGTGCAATTCAATTCAAAGCTAAAACTTTTTTCCTCTTCAATATTCTTCCAAAATGCATAGGTTCCAAGATATAAGTAAAAAACTCAGATAACAGGTATTTAAAAAATATATATATTCTTTTAACATTTTCGCAATTTTGAAAATGTTTCGGACCTCGCCCAGATCTAGGGATTTACACTTTTATTACTGAAGATATCCCAGAAAAAATTAGCTTGCCCTTTCTTACATCCAAGAAGTGACATATTTCGACAGGTCTATAAATATTTTTGTAATATTATGGTTTGAAGTGTCAATTCGGAAGTTGGAAGCTGCTTCTTTGATTCTTAATACGGTAGAGAAATTTTTAAATAGAAAGATTTCATAAGTGAAAATATTGTATAATTGAATGATGCATTGTTTCTTTATATATCTTGCAGCAGCATCAACAGCAAGAGCATCCGCTACACCAGCAACAACAGGTGCAGCAGCTACAACAAGAGCAACAGTTACAACNGGAATATTTATGTATGTGTTTAAAAGTAAGCGAAATTTGTAAGCACATCAACAATAGTATATTGTGCAATCTAAAAAATTATTTTGCGAAAACTATCGAACCGATTTTAATGAAATTTGGTGTGTGTTTTATTATACTAAAAAGTTTGTTTTTACTAAAATTAGATTGCCCTGGGAGCAATTAAAAAATTTAATAAAAATATATTAAAAAATACTTGATTATTTTGCCTCTTTTCACCAATTGTTGCTATTTTGCAACATCGGTAATAAATGTAAACATTTTTAACTTACAGTATATTGTGCAATTCAATTCAAAGCTAAAACTTTTTTCCTCTTCAATATTCTTCCAAAATGCATAGGTTCCAAGATATAAGTAAAAAACTCAGATAAGAGGTATTTAAAAAATATATATATTTTTATAACATTTTTGCAATTTTGAAAATGTTCCGGACCTCGCCCAGATCTAGGGATCTACACTTTTATTACTGAAGATATCCCAGCAAAAATTAGCTTGCCCTTTCTTATATCCAAGAAGTGGGATATTTCGACAGGTCTATAAATATTCCTGTAATATCATGGTTTGAAGTGTCTGCCACTAGGGGAATGTATTGGTATGAATAACTTAAGAACGGCGAATTAGGGAAAAAAATTCAAGTTACCTTCTTACGTATTTTGTGCATTAATACAGGGCTGGAAAATCCGCATGGATCATCTACCTTTACATGAGAGCGACAAAGTAAAGCAAAGAAATCCGTGCGATATACAAGGATGGCTATAGTGAAGACGTTTCATAATCTGAATCAGGGAGACTAGATAAGGAGCACAAATTCATACGGGAAAATTGACAAAATTTGTCCAAGAAATGGCAGAAGTTGGGGTGGCGCTAGTGTTCCATATGTCCCAAATGAATGTAGCTTCATAAATACGAGTAAAGTAAGCAAATAACCAATTTTATTTTATTTATATTGAGTTTGGTAGATATATCGGGGCGGGGGGAGGTATACTAACCTAAAAACTAGAAGTCAAGTCAATAATTATTACAATTTGTTTTTATAAATGGTAAATAAAAAGTTTCGAAAATAATTTAAATATGGTAATGGTATGTGATGTGAATGACTGTCAACAGATTTATAATAAAACAGTACGTTTGTGATCTGCATTTTCAATCTAATGATGTTCTATATTACAACTTGACCGAATAGCGGGTTAATATTATGGCAAAAGGTCGAATAATTCGTAAGTTGGAAACAGCTTCTTTTATTCTTAATACGGTAGAGAAATTTTTAAATAGAAAGATTTCATAAGTGAAAATATTGTATAATTGAATGATGCATTGTTTCTTTATATATCTTGCAGCAGCATCAGCAGCAAGAGCATCGGCTACACCAGCAACAACAGGTGCAGCAGCTACAACAAGAGCAACAGTTACAACAACAACAACAACAAGAACAGCAAGTAAATCAAGAGCAGATGACGATGAGATTATACTAGAAAGTGAGCATCCTGTCCTGTATAATCTAATAAAAGAAAAGTTCTGTTGACGTGTGATGAGTTCTCGACAAAGCAACGATGAATATGTTCACATAATATTAACAATAGCAACAAAGTATTTCTACATATTCTTGTAATTTATATTACGTGCATAAATAATTAAATTCGTATCTTTCATATAATTCTTGCTGGTGACATCGCTATTATCATTACTGAATTGAATAAATCATTTCCAATTAGTTGCTGTTTCTTTCCTGTTAGTAAAAAAC